TCCAGGATTTGTGTTTACTGATAGTGAATTGCAAATGGCTCAGGTGTAGTTCCAGGGTTAATTGGGCTTATTGCTCGTTTTGTTAGAGGCTTTGCAAATTTCTGTCACAAAGCAGTAGTATTTTCAAAATGCGGTGAAAATGCATACCCGTAGATGCGCAAAATGATGGTGAGCGCATTTTTGCATGTGAAAAATATCATTGTGTGTGTAACGAGGCGGTGACCGAGCATCAGATAGGCACGCACCAACAGGAAAGGAATATCCTGCAAGCAGATGGACGATGCAATCGCCCAAATCCTGACATCAAAGAATGCCTGCAAGCTCAGACTGACTTCTGTATGCTAAACCACAAGTGCAGCAAAGAAGAAAAATTTTTTCTCGCATTTGCCATCAAGATCTTGGAATGCTGAGAGCTACTTGTCGAAGCAACCTTTTGTTATACGGCACGAAACTGAGGACTATGGCTCACTCAAAGAGGATCACGTCCAGTTTAATTTCTCTCATCGATTGTCATTTCCCACATGTGGTCGAGATCAGTAGATTCGAAGAATATAAAAAGTATCTCGAATCATCAAATTCAAATCAGCAGCCTTGAGTAAAATGCGCCTTTTCAGAAAAAGGAATTTCTCTTTCACCATCACGTCTAACTGCAGCATTAACCAAATGTTTGTTTTTCCACACTAATTTCATACCTTTAAAAGCTAAACTTGAGAATTCCTGAACTTCACTTGCCACATTTTTCATTTTTCGTTGCCAGCTTTAGCATCTTTCGAACACTGACCAGATACATTTTAAGAAAACAGCTACTGCTGCTTATCAAAATGTATCGGGTCAGTGTTCGAAAGATGCTAAAACTGGCAACGGAAATGGAAAATGTGACAAAAATGGAAAATGAAAAATTAGCTAACATTACAGACAAATTCATCAGCTTTCTATCATTGCAGTGAATACCAAATTTAGGATGTTCATTTACCACTGTGACAGCGGCAACTTGTGAAATTCGGAATGCGCTGATACAGGAACTTACGTCGCAGGGTGTGCGTTTGCGGTGCTCCAGCAGGAAGTGCTCGAATGCTTTCGTTAGAGCCGCCTGTGATGCTCGCTTCTGGATACTGTGACTTACAGTTAAAGTAAATGAGAATTGCAATAAGCTGAGCTGCAAATGCACAGTCATGCTTCATTGCACAACCCACTGTATGCAAATGGTATGGAATAAATGACTAAAAAAGAAGTATATTAAAGGGGTAGATGATAACAAAACTAAAACAAACAATAAAACCAAAAAATTGAAAAATAGGATTTATAAAAATACTAAAATGACAAGATCGGTTAATAGCAGAATAGGGAAGAAAAGGAAGGTTAGAAAT